ATCATGGGTTACATAAAAACAAAAACAAAAATTTGATCATGGATTACAAAAAAAACAAACATTTCGATCATGGATTACAAACATTCAATCATGGATTACAAAAAATTCTATCATGGGTTACAAAATAAAAATAAAAATAAAATTCGATCATGGATTACAAGAAAAAAAACAAACATTTTGATCATGGATTACAAAAAATTCGATCATAGATTACAAAAAATTCTATCATGGGCTACACAAACAAAAAAAAAAAAAAAATTAAGTTCTTCACAGAGTCGTTTTACATAAGCGATTTTAACTCAAAAATTCACCTCCAAGTGAATAAATTACATCCAATTGACTATATTTTCTGATAAACAACAATATAAGGAATCAAAAACCTAAATTTTTAACACATTATTTCAAATATATCATGAAAACAAAATCAAAAGGCGGAAAAATAAAAAATAAAAACGGCGGAATTTGGTTCCGCAGGCATCTCACTGTTCATATCAAATTTATTGCTGTAATTGATCAGATTACGTAAAATTAAAAATTTTAAATCATACTAGACACAATAAAGATTAAAAACCCTAATTATTGAACTCATTTTGTTCAAAATATGCCGTGAAATAAATCAAATGGCTGAAAAAAAAAAAACCCAAAGTTCTTACCTGTTTTTGTGAACCGAAGCCTTCAATCTCCAAAAAACTCTATTTTTCTCAACGATTATCACAAATTAGTAACAAAATATTTTGATTCACAGCTTTAAGATCAATATGCCTACAAATTTTGAAAGATTCATGCCCTATTTGGCATGAAATTTCAGAAATGGCGGAAACCCTAAACCCCGAATTTTTCTTGATCCAAAAACAACCAATTTTTCCACCATTTAATCCTTGAAAAATCTGAATAAAGTTGTTTACAGCCTGAAAAACAGATCACATGCCGAAAAAAACAAAAAAAATGATCAAAAAATGACAAATTTGAAAAAATCCGTGAAGAACACTGTGCAACCCGTGTTCTTCACGGACTCGCCGATTCCGCACAGTGAATCGGCGAGTCACTGTGCGGAATCGTCCGGTTCTCTCTAGAACCGGACGATTCCCGGTTTTTGAACCGATCCGGTACCTTTTTCGTGAATTCCGAGTCGAACCGGGCGAGTCCGGTTCGACTCGGCGATTTTTTAAACGCTGAGTCAACCTGTTTATAAGTACAATCAAGGTATAAATCAATCTTTTCAAGGATATTTCTAGATTTATCATTATTAAAAAATATTCATCCCAATCCATCGCGATTCTTACTCTCTTATGCTATAAACAATGATTTGAATTTCAAACGGGTCCTACCCAAAAAGGGAAGGTCTCGTAAAAAAAAATCCATTAATTCATTAATATTATCTTCATCATTAGAGTCTTATCCCAATTATTTGAGATCGCCTACACCAATCTTATTCCGGTACTCTACTTTATTAAAAGTCATAACCTCACAAAGACTATAAATCTCCATATCTTTTCTCACTACTTCCATTCATGTTCTTTTGGGTCTTCCGCATGCATAAAATTAAAACCTTTCACTTAACCAAATCACACTTCCTAACCAGTGTTGTATTAGATTTGCACTGCACATGACCAACCTACCTTAAATCTACATTCCCTCATCTTGTCATCTATTAGAGCCATATTTACATTCCCTCAAATATATTCATTCGAATTCTATTATTTTTTATCTTGCCACGCATCGATCTCAACATTCTCATTTCAGCTCCAACAATTACTATTATAAATTTCCAAATGAATTGTTCCAAAAATTTTGTGTGTTACTATTTCATAACACACTATCCTTGTAATATCAAATCCATATAAATTACAACATTCCTTCCATATTTTGATAAAAAGTAGCTAAAATTGCAAAAAGTTAAGAGTAAGGTCATCACTTTGAAGATAAAAAGGACTAGACGCAAGGCTTTAATGTTTATGGTGGTCAAAGCATGAAATCTTAGAAAAATTCGACAAGAAAATGGGGCACCCCAACCTCATTGCATGCGAGTAGTGCCTCCGCAACAAAACACAGCATTCATGTGCAATAATCATCCAACCTCATTGCATGAAAGTTGCGCCTCACTAACAAAACACAACATTCGTGTGCAATAATCAATGCAATTACCCACAACAGTGCTGCATGCAGTTTACATATAACAAATTCACACATCATCTTGACTGTCCATTGTTGAAAGTGGACGGCAGAGAGAATTGTTCCTCCATCAAAGTTGACATTGAGCAGAATAGTTTTAACTAACCATCCTTTCTAATGGATGGTTGAGATGACATTTAGCCTGTGTTTGTAGACTACGATGCTTCAGTGCAAAACCCACTTGTGCATAACAACAAATAAGAACACAATAACATGCCATGCTAAATATTTTCAAAATATTCAAATTCATTTTATCTTCTCAGGTCACACTAGAATTCCTACTTTATCTAGCAGTATAATCCTAGATATCCCTACTCTGCAAAAATAAAAAACAATCCTAGATATCCCTATGAAGAATGAGGTGACGGGGTCTCAGACGAGTCTCCTATCTCTGATTGCTTCGAAGCTGAACCATTTGATGTCTCACATCCACTGGAAACTGATTTGTAGGGAGACCCATTACCACCTGATTTTAATGGCATAGACTCTTCTTCCTTGTTGGGCTTTACCCCAATCGATCCATTCTTACCCTCTTGTGATCCCTTGACAGTCTTGATTGGTATTGCTTTTTCTCTTTTCAACTCCTCTACCTCTAATGCAGTGAATTGCTTGTCCAAAGAGCGAGCAGCAGCTAACCATCCCAAGACGATCACTAAGAGTATGCCTCCAAGGTAGGGGGTCGAATTTGCCAGAGACCCAAAAGTTAGGATCATGAATTGCTGAATAAGAGCACCCCCAGATTTTCCTAGTGGATTGCAAACAACATCAATTGCTGCTTTCCCCTTCACCTGCAATTGTAAAACACTATGAGCAAGAAACCCGAAAGAGGCAAGCAAGACAACTCCTCTCTCTCACTTTTTTTTTTTCGCAAGGGGGGGAAGGGGGGTTATTTGGTTGGGGTTGGGATTGGTGGTTATTCTTTGTTTGGTTGGTTCATGTGGGCATGCGTGAGGGTGCCAATTGTCAATTATGAAAGAAAAGGATAGCCTCTCCTTGTGTGTCAATCATCAACAACATGAGGACTCCCTTGTTCAATCAGTAAAATGGAAGTGAATCGTCAATCATAAACAACAGTAGGACTCTCTCTTCTTGGGCGCCAATGATAAACAACTTGAGGACTCTCTCATTCAATCAGTAAAAAAAAAGGTATCTCTCTCTCTCTCTCTCTCTCTCTCACACACACACA